TGGGGATTGCATCGAATCTGTAGAGAGCTTTAGGTAATCTGGACATTTTAACTATGTTAATTCTTCCAGTGCATGAGCATGGAATATTTTTCCATTTCTTTGTGTCTTCTTTGATTTCTTTTAATAGTATCTTATAGTTTTCAGTAGTACCCATCTCTTGATATAGCTTTCTTTAGCCATTCTGTCCCTCAAGAGCCTCCCTTCTTGGAACTCTTCCTGCCCTTACTGTCTCTACTCTTCCCCCCGCATTTATTATAGAGTGCCTGTGTTTGTTTCTGTGTCCGGTGTCTTTTCTCCCTAACTGGGTAATTAAATAAATAAATCCTCTGGGGCAAGACTAATTCATCCAATAGTGCATCCTTCTCGTCCCCATAGTAGATCCTGGGTGGCTGGATGTGACTGTGACTATCAGGTCGCAAAAGATGGAGAAGTGACACTTACAATATCAGAATACCATCTCCATGTGTGTTCAAGCTATTTTGGAGCTACACGAGCCTTGTTAAAATGCTTGCTCCACTGCCTACTAGGTGTGTGTCGTTGGGTGAGTTACCTAACTTCACTGCCACTCGTGTTTTTCCTCTGAAAAATAGGAGATATCAATGTGTGTTAGAGTCCTTCCTCTGGGAAATAATGCTTTTGATGTTTAGCAAGTGATTATGTACTGCAGTTAGGGGCTGTTTGCCCAACTGTCTTTCTGGAGAGACTCAATAGTAGGAAAGCATCCACAGGTTTTTATGGGTTCCTTGTGGAAGAAATAAGCCCTGTGACTTGTGGAACTCCCATCCTGCTCAGAAAGCGGGAGAGGTATGTTTTCTTGCCTCAGCAGCCTTGCTACATGTCTGCCTTTGTCCAGCCCCAGGACATAGATAAGCTAGTATTCTTGGTTTTCTGGCAGCTATGCGATCCTTAGCATTTCTACTTGGCAAAGTTCTGAAAATCTTTTTTCCGGGTTTGGAATTCTTCCCGTGGCATTCCCCAAAATAATTACTTCAGGATCCTTTTATTGATGCCCAGCCTCACATTCATGATGTGAAGATGTCTCGGTTTAACTTTTATTGTTGCCCTCATGTTGGCTTGGGATTTGAATTCGTATTCACTTCTATTTTTTTGTCAGAACTCTAGGGCATTTAAATGCACCTGTGCCCAACCTGAGAGAGATAAGAAAAGTCTCTTATCTTAGATGTTCTGTGTCTGCCTAGCAGCCTCCACTCCACCCTCCTGAAAATAAAATGGCTTTAGGTCTGGAGAGTCTCTTTTACCCTAGAAGCCTGGCAGTTGCTGTCAGTTCTGACAAAAATCCTCTTTCTTCAGATTCCTTGATTGCAAAATTAGAAACCCCTGGCCCTCTGCCCTAGTCTCCTTCAGCCTCAGCCGGCCAGATGCCATGGCTGTGGAACAGTTTACCGGGTTACCCGAGATCCAAGGCATGTGAAGATCTTCCGCTCCAGCTTGCTCCTTGTATGGGGACCAGTTGTGGGCTGGGAACAGATGAGAACTTTGGGGCCTTCCCAGTCATTTACCTCACAGACTTCTGGCTCCGAAGTGGGTCAGAATGGGAATCCTGGGGTCCAGGGGCCCTGACTCCACGCTCTGGAACCCCACTGTCAGATCCAGCATAAGTGGCGGTTTTATAAATAGGGTTCTGGGGCACTAACTGCGACATGTATGTCTGCTCAAGGTTCAACTGACTCTCAATTCTGGTTTTTGTCTTAGTAGTAACTTCTGCTCTAATATCATGACTCTTGTCTTATTGTAAAGGAAACTTTGGAGCAAGAGACTTTGTTCAAATCCTTGCTCTACCCCTGCTAACTGAGTGACCTGGGGCAAGGTCTCCATATGCCTCAATTTCTGCAACTGTCCATGGGGATAATAGGGATAACATCATGGGGGTGTTGCGGCGCTGTGAGATGTGGGTTAAATGGAGTTCCTTCCTAGCGCAGAGTCCGGCTCATTTTCATTGCTGAACAAATAGCTGTCTCTCCCCAGCTCCATCCCAGAATTTAAAGATTATAAATAGGCTGCCTGGAAAAATGTTGCCAAAAGATTCCTAAATCAACTATAGTGAAAGAATGAATTCCACTAGCCATGAACGGACATGCTGTTGCAGTATGTCCTCAAGTAAGAAATTAATCTGAATCCAGAGGATTTCAGCATTACTGTCTTTGGGAGTGCTCTGAACTGGGGAGGAGGGGACTGGGTCACTGGAAGGACTGCTCGGGGCTGTAAACAGCTGTTAAACCGCAGCATTTTGACAACATGATCCTACTTAATTCTCATTGAGTGTGACTTTTTTTTTTTTTTTTTAGTGAATTTAACATTGAATTTAATTCTGAATTGTCAGGCAGATGCCTAAAATTATTTGAAGAAGGATTTGACTTACTCTTGGTCCGCTGTTGTATGAGCCTGGATCACTTACATAAAAGATACTTTTTTTTCCAGACTAGCAGAAATTGCTAACGATTATATTGCCGCTTAAATCTCTAAGCTGACTACTTTGTCCCTGGGTTGTGGTAATATTTGTAGGGCATGGCAAAAAAGTGAATTCGCCTTTTTGGGAATGCCTGCATTTGTCCATTCAGCTTCTTTTTCTCCCCACCCCACCCCCCATCTCAGTGCTCATTGAGGATTGGTCAGCAAAGGGCTAGGGGCAAGGAGAAGGAGATTAGTGAAAAGAAGCCGTTATCAGCAATCACTTTGTTAGAGTAGACGATACTGTGCTACGTGTGATGCTTTGGGTTTAATGCTGCCTTGCACACAGGAATTTATAATCTTGTGAGAAGATAAAAGTAGATAAAGGCTGATTAGAAACACTATCTTAAATAGCATCCATAAAAGGATGATTCATTAGGGGAAAATCTGTAAGCCTATGATGCAATTTTTATCATTTAGATTGAACTTTTACAGAACTATTTTTGGATTTCTAGTAATTTTGTTGCAATTTCACTTATTCAGAGATCACTGCTGCTGCTGATTATTTAGAAATGTGGAATGTTTCCATAGCCCATGAGAGCAAGGATTCCTGAGTGTTTTGCTCATGGCGGTATCTCCAGCACCTACAACAGTGCCTGGCACTCTGTCGGCGTTCGGTACGTGTGGAACAAATGTATAAGTACATGTACACCATGGTACTCTTTCAGGAAAACTGCAGGGGCCACTCTGGCTGGTTAGGTGGGTTCAGACCCGAGTTGCCCATGACGGGGTGAGGCTTGCCCTTTCCTCCAGTTTGATTGTTAAGGTTAATAATGCTGCACGTGTTTTCTGGTGATCGGCGGTTGCCAGGGAACTGAGGAAATGAAAGGAGGGCATTGAAACAGCTTTTTTGCTTTTCCCTGGGTGGCTGCGCCTCGATATCCAGGCCTGCTTGTCTGGCACTTTGGCCTGTATGTGCAAGTGGTAGGAAGGCACAGCAGAGACTGGCCAACTGTCTTGAGAATACCTGTTTGTTGAAGAATGGCTCCCTAGTCCCCCGACACCTGCAGCAGCAGAAGCCACTTCTCTCTACACACTACCCCTCTCCTCTTCTCCATAGCAGTGAGGCCGTGTTCTTTTAGTGAGTCTTGAGGAAATGGCTCAGCTGGCTGGGCTCATTCATTTCCTTGTCAGGAAAGGCGATGTGACCTTGACCGTCAGTGGGAGACCTGCAGCAAGCACATTGCGTGTCTGGCTGGATTCGCTAATGATTGAAAAGTACTTTTGGCAACTCCCCATGCTGTAAGTGTTGCATAGTGCTAATTTATTGTCCTAGGTGGATAGATACTAATTTGCGAGAATCATTTCTGATTTACCTGGGTCACACCTCGCACAGTACCACTCCCATGGAGCCCCGTGATAAATATCACTGAAAGAAATTCATTGCAGAAAATAAAAAGAAAGATGAGATATACTTGCCTTGAGTCATGGAAAATATAATTAATTTGCAGTCCAAGCAGTTAGGACAAAGTAACTTTGGATTTATAAAGTTCCTCTGAAGACTGTTCTCCTCAAGAAGAGTCATTTCTGCAAGTGCAAATCCAAACCAGGGCATTTTGTCCTTTGCAATGTTGTCTCGGGGCCGGAGCAAGCGACTGTGACCGCTGTTTAGGGAAGGGTGGCCAGACGAGAGCTGGCTTACACCACTGAGGAGAAAAAGTCAGATCGGGACGCCAACCCCAGGGCTTTTGCTTCTTGTGCAAAGCTTGTTGTTAGAGAACCATTTTCTCCATAAACTGAGCTGCTTAGAGAAGAAAGCACAACAAACCTAAGGTGGTGAACTTTTCCAAAGTACAGGAGTTGGTTTAAATATAGTTGATCTGCTTTACTGGCAACTCGGAGGCTGCAGTGGGACTTGTTGTACCTTTTGTAAGACAAGTGAGGAAAGATGTTGGCACCTGTACATGTGCTGTTTGTTTATGAAATATAAACTCTCCTCTAGAAGCGAGGGCTTGAAAGGTCAGCGTGCAAGGTAGCATGTCCTACCTTAGCTGGGGAAGAGGTGCCTCTCTAGGCCCTCCCCGTGCGAATTGCTGGGATCCCTAGAGAAAGTTGGGACAGCCAGGCTTAATGCACTATTATTTCTTGAGCACTGACTCTGGCCTGTGTGGGGGCAGAAAAGTGTCGGTGAAACTGACAGGCACCCGGCTTGATTTTCTTTCCCAAGGAGTAGAAACAATACCTCGGGAGCTATGGAGTCCAGTCTTTATACAGAGAAATGTAGCTCTTTCAGCCTTAGAGACTTGATTTATGTCCACCCAAGCCACAGGGACATGATGGGAGCGGGCGGCAGCCCCCGTCTTCCTCCAGTTGCCGGCTCCAGCTCTAGGTGGGTCCAGGGCTGGCCAGTGTGGGTTTGCAGCACATCCTCCTCAGTATTCACGGCAGCTGTCTGGAGTTTTTTCTGCTGTGCCTGAACTGATGTCATTTCCCCCTTGGCAGACAGTTTCGGCTTTGCTGCGTCTGAGATATGTCACGAGAAGGTGGGGGTGGGTCTGAGCCGGTGGGGGGGGCGAGCAGGAGGGAGAGTGCCGGCTTGGTCCCAGGACTCTGTTTACTTTCTCTTCTTTGCTCGGGTAGGCTGGTTAACTGGAACCGCCGAGCACGCAGGCCCACCGGGGGAAATGCTCTTTCCAAGACCTTAACTTTTAAAAGCTCTTTGTTCCAAACGTTAGTGTGGACGATGCTCTTGCAGGATGCCTTTTCTTTTGGGTCTTAGACAGGTAACTGAACGGGTTGTACGGGGCTCGGGTTCGGGAAGGGAGGAAGGGTGGGAGCTTGTTTATCGGGCTACCGCTTTGGGTGGAGGGAACCTTTGAGAAAATGCCTCACAGTTACAGCAGGCCGGCTCCCGTACAGAATTTTCCTGCCTTCCCTTCTTGTTTGCCAGTTGCTCCTTACTTCCAGAGCCACCGTATTCTTAACCCCATACATCCCTGAGGTCTCTCTGGGGCCGTCCATTCTGATTTTCCATTAGACACCACAAAATCGTTTCCGAAGCTTTGTGGAGGAAATAGTTGAGGGGTGAGGCTGGGGAGGGGAGAGGCAGAGTGAGATGCTTCATCAAAACCCCTTTTATTCCTTCTCCATTTTAATTTGGCGACTTAGCAGAGATTTCTTCACAGTTCCCTGGTTCTAAAGAGGTTCTGAGGCAGGGAGGGGGGTGTCTGCTTTTAAAGGGAAGGGCTCCCAAAGGCTTTTTCCTTTGAAGCATGTGGTGAGGGCTGCGTGGCTGAGGGACCTCCTGGATACCTCAGAGGGATGGGGGTGAGACTGATCACATTTTGGCTTTCATGACCGATTTTTCAAAACCAGCAGACCCCTGTGGCAGAGACTTGATTGGTTTGCGAGCCGCACTTTGAAGTAGGGGCACTAAATTATCACCGGTAACCTAGTGTGGAATGAGAGAACAGTAGCGAGCGAGCAACTGCTTGCTGTCTGCTGAGAACACAGCTGTTGCCAACTATTTGTTCCAGGCCTTCTGAGAGTTGGCCACCTCCCACCCCCTCTTTGGTCTGAGAGGCATGTCTGTATCGGAATGTGTAACTGTAACCAGTGGTGGCTGTAGGAGGGGGTGGGGACCGGCACACTTTCTGCTGCTTGTCCTGGGTGAGGAAAAGCCACAGATGAGATCAAACTAGAAGCCTTAGAGAGTTGCTGCTAGAGCCTGCTGGTTTAATCTCACTCTTAGAAAAAGCAGATCTCCCTTGGGTTGCCTGAAATTCTTTTAAAAGTAAGCTTCTCTGAAAAGCTCCACATATTCCATTACTGCCCTTGTTCATCTTAAGTGTTTCTTTGAGGCAGCTGATAGGCAGAGAATGGGGACCCCATTCAGGCACCTCCTCTGTCGCCCAAGAAAGGTCGTTCTTTTAACCTGTGGGCCGAGTGAGCCCTGGTGAGGATTTTGAGCCGTGTTAGAAATAGGATAGATGAAGCATCTCATGCTATGTCAGCTGGTGGAGGAGAGAGCCCGGAAACTGCCTGATGTAGTGGAAAGAGCAGGGCTGGGGAGCCAGAAAGACCTGCGTCCGCATCTTGGCTCCCCCATGGTCTTGGGCAGACACTTAAATGTTCTGAACCTCATGTTTGAAGTGGAAATAATAAAACCTCATTGAAGAGTTATCGGGAAGGTTTTTCAAAAGAATGTATTTAAAACATTAGCTCCTTGGCTGGCTGAGAGTAGGCATTTAGTAAAAATGTAACTTTTTTTTTTTTGAGGAAGATTAGCCCTGAACTAACATCTGCCAGTCCTCCTCTTTTTGCTGAGGAAGACTGGCCCTGAGCTAACATCTGTGCCCATCTTCCTCTACTGTATATGTGGGACGCCTACCAGAGCGTGGCTTGCCAAGTGGTGCCATGTCCACACCCAGGATCCAAACCGGCAAACCCCGGGCGGCTGAAGCAGAATGTGCGCACTTAACTGCTGCGCCACTGGGCTGGCCCCATAACTATTATTTTTATCTACTCATTCCTAAAGGATGCAAGACCGCAGGGGTAGAGGAAACTAGAAGGTAGAGGACAGATTCCTTTAAAGAGGTAGGGGGGCGGTTAGTGTGCAGGAGCTCTTCGCCTGTCATTTGGTGGCTACCGTTGTGCGTTGACTGTGAGTTGGAGGCCGTCATTTCCTGTACCAATATACTATTAATCTTACGTAGTGAGGTGTCAAGAAGGGGAGGGCCTATGTCCAGAACTTCCCCTCAGTTAAGTGAGAGGATGCAGTGGTGGGTGAAGTGAAGGGCTGGGTTGGTTGTCATGGGGAGCATCTCAGGATCCACAGCAGGTGAATCTTTGGCTTTCGTTTCTGAACGAGTTCCTGGTAGAAGGCTGAACTAGAGAACCTCTTGAAGGCCCTTTCTGCCCTCGGCTTCTGCGGTTCAAACCCTGCCTGTAAAAACCTTAGGTATTTTTGGTTATATAATTTTGTATATTCCCAGCATTTCTATGTCTGACATTGTAACTACATTCTTTATTGGAGCTAGGTAAAAGCCAGCCTTCAAAAGATTACTTGGTGATAACTGTATTTTTTTTAAAAAACACAAAAATATATATGCTATTAGTTTTCATCATGCATAATATGTATATGCTTTCATGTATTTTCCCCCTTATTCCACATAACGCCCCTGTCTTACGTGGTAGTCTGATTCTGTTTCTGCAGAAGTGCACGCTGTGGCTTGCAGAAGTTAAGCTACTTGCCCACAGTTGCTCAGCTAGGGAAATGGTGATTGAAATTTGTTTTTTTTTTTAACCCAGGTCTTTTGATTCCAAAGCTTGGAGTTTTCCTCACTACCTAGACTGCGTTGCCCAACGTCTGTGAGAGTGGAGTAGCATTAATGCGCTATTCTAGTTGGGGCACATTTCCTGAAGGCTGTTTCTAGGCGGCCCAGGTACCAGATAAAACACTGTGTGTGCGTGTTTGCATTTTCCTCTGTGAAAGAATCTCCTGGGTGCAGCATCTACTGAATAAAGCCCCTGCACGGAGGTTTTGAACACTTGATGAATGTGGACCTGGCACAAAGGATGCAAAGATAGATAAAGCACACTCTTGACTCCCAGGGAGCTCACACTCTAATGCAATAGTTCTCAAAATGCATAAAAATCACCTGGGAGTGGGGCTTATTAAAACGTAGATTCTGTAGGCCTGGAGCCAGGACCCAGGAGTATGCATTTCTATTGAGCTCTCCAGGTGGTTCTGCCCCAGGTGGTTTCTGGCCACACTTTGGGAGATTACCACCCTCCCCTCCCCCCGCCAGGTTTAGTAGCAAGGAAATAGTTACATGACAATGTGCTGAGACTCTAACAGAGGAATGCCAGGTGGACTAGGACGACAGAGGGTAGGAAAGCATCTAAATCAGGCTAGGGGAGGGGGGTGGGCATGGAAGCCTTTTCTGAGAAGGTGAGATCTGATCTGAGTCTTGAAGGATGAGTAGAAGTTGATCAGACACACCAGCTGAGGAAAGCGCATTCCAGACAGATCAGGTTGGGAGTGTCGTTTTTGTTTTCTCTGGATGAGAAGGGAAACTGTCACCTGTGTGTCTTGGTGTTAACTATGCCTGAGCAAGACAAGGACCCTGGCTCACCAAGTTTTGGTGTTCTTTATGTCACCAAGGAGGAGGAAAGCACTGGGCCCTTCAGTCTAATACTGAGTGTGGCCTGAATTCAGTGTCTGCAAAGGGCAGATGGACCATAGGCTGTGTTAGTTGTTCTATGCAAGGGACAGTTAAGACAGCTCACTGGAAGCCACAATGTTGACTACAGAACAGTCTTTTTGTGCTTAGAGGAGCTACAGTTCAGAAGAGAGTCACCTGCAGAACTTTCTGGGTGTGTACCACATTTTAGATGCAACTCACAATTAAGCATACTATCCCTTTATTATCTGGGGAGATCAGAAAATGAGTTTTCTGGTTAAAAGAGAATCCATCATGTATACCTAACGAATGGATCAGTGATTTTTAGAGAACAAGATTGCAACAGAATGTTCTTAGTCTGCTGATTTGAATGAATTCTATTTGATGTTTGATTCAGAAGATATTGGTTTTGTAATGCTGGAGGATTCTTATGACCAGCATTCTATATCTGAAAAGTATTGTGCACCTATTCTCTTCAAAGCATGTTGTGGATACAAAGAGGTGTAAACTCCATCCCTACCCTCAAGGGGTTTATAGTCAGGTAGTGAAAGTAGAACAAGTCTGCGGGTAATTGGAACATTCGGCAGGTGGTGGTGAGTGACATTAGAAAGGAACAGAGTGCTGTGGGGGTTCAGAGGTGTGAAGAGATGGCTTTCTGCAGGTGGCCCTTTCCACAGTGCAGTAGTCTCAGTTGTTGCACTGTGGGTGTGTCAAAGGACCTGTTGATGGTAAGTTCTAGTCGATGGAATGCAGGCTAGCCCCATCAAGACAATACTTTGTGTTTCACACCATGAAATGTTGCCTTTCTCTGGACGGGGCCCACTGTCCTCACCAATGAAGTGAGGTGATCCCTAACACTGGAAGGAAACTGAGGTGGATCTGGGAGCCTCAAGCAATGTGCCCTTGCCCGTGTTGGAATTTGTCGTTGCTGGAGGCACAGAGGACCACCTCCTGGCCCAGGGGGCTATTTGTATTTTTGAAAGGGGGAGCTGGTACCTATAGGCCTTTGGCTGGCCTGATGTTGAATGTAACGTGGCAACCAGAATGTTGAACCCCAGTTACTTCCAGGACGTAGTAAGAGATCTTAGGAGCATGTTGAAAATGCTCTGGTGATAGCCAGCCTAAAGCCGCAGGTGGGAGCCACGGCCAGGGAGAGGGTAGAGGGAATTTGCCAAGTTCTAATTTAATCCCTAATAGCTGGATATTAGCCAAAATTTACGTGATACTTTTATTATTCCATCACGACAGCCACCCATGAGGCAGGAGGTCTTAATCTCCTTTCTATTGTGAGGAAACCGAAACTCAATAAGTTACGTCTTCAAGATCACACACCTGATATATGGCGCTGGTGGCTCTGGAGGCCAGGTCTTCTCAGTGTTGCCCTTCTCTTGTATATTGCTCTGTTATGGTACCTGCTCCAAAATCTGCTGCCAGACCTCCCTGCACACGTTGTGCTCTGCAAAGGACTAAGGGTTGACTCCCATTACCCTCCTGTGTGCTTAGCCTGTCTGTACCAGGTTCAGGATAAATTAAGCAAGACGCTGTTTAGAAGGGAACTGGCTGTATATAATGCAGCAAAAACCAAGGTGACATTTGTT